TTTCATACAGAATATAAGTCTCCACAACAAGATATTTTTGTGCTTACTTCCATTTCGAGTGAAAGTATATAACCGGAATCGAAGAAGATCACCTCGGAAACAGCGTCAACATGAATGTTGCAGTAAAGCCAATCGACAGCTGGTCAAGAGGAATCGGTCGTCGTCTTCTGGTGGAATCGAACTTCGAATCTCTTCACCAAACACTTTCACTCAAAACTGATGTAGGATCAACAGCATACGGTTTGTCAAAATGTACATAAAGAAGGAATATCTTGTTTCATAGTTGTTGAGCTTACTTCCATTTCGAGTGAAAGTGTTGCGTGAAGAGATTCGAAGGTCGGTTTCATCAGAAGACAACAGCGGATTTCTCTTGACCAGCTGTCGATTGACGTTACTGGAATATTCACGCTGACGCTGTATCCGAGGCAATCTTCTTCGATTCCGGTGAAAAGGTGCTAAGCTTTAGTGCGTCATATGACGAATATCATCAGAGCGAGGTATCATCGCCACAACAAACTTCAAGCCAACGAGTCAAAAAAACTCACTGGCAAATCCCTAAAAAGTGGTATATATACTCCACATCTGGCTTCTTTGATCAAGCATAAAGTGATTTGGTTAGTTAAGGTAATATGTCAACTCCGATGCATGTGAGTGTGTCTGTATCTGTATTTGTTGACATATGACCTTAACTAACCAAATCACTTTATACTTGATCCAGATGTAGAATATATATACCACTTTTTAGGGATTTGCCGGTGAGTTTTCTTCGCTCGTTGGCTTAAAGTTTGTTGTGACGATGATACCTCGCTCTGATGATGTCCGTCATATGACGCACGAAAGTTTAACACATTTTCACCGGAATCGAAGGAGATTGCCTCGGATACAGCGTCAGCATGAATGTTCCCGTGAAGCCAATCGCCAGTTGGTCAAGAGAAATCGCCCGTCGTCTTCTGGTGGAATCGACCTTCGAATCTCTTCACCAAACACTTCCACTCGAAATGGAAGTAAGCACAACACTCTCTTAAAAGAGCCGTTGCAATGTTGTGAAGACTTATATTCTGTACGAAAGGTCAGAATGTACAGATTGGTAGGTCGATTCCACCAGAAGACAAAGGCTAATTCCGACTCTTCTGAACGTCGTATTAAAGCTAGACGGCAGCAGCACAAAAGTGTTCATTCGTCATCTTCTGATGAGATCGGCCTTTGAATTTCTTCTTCGTGCACTTTCATGTGAAATTAAAATCTCCCCAGCAATGATAGCTTAAGAGATCCATCCAAACTCAGATACTCTTCGTACCTACCCCCAAAACTGCCCTCCCTTCTGCAGTGGCGGTTGTCATGTTCCGACAGCAAACTGTCCCAACTCGGATAACTTCGTGTCTCCTGACATGCAGAAGGCCCAGAGGCTGGTGCTGCCATGCAGACAACGGTCGCCTGAGACACTCGACTGTTCCTGCCCGTTGGGCAGTCTGGCTCTGCCTCGGGTCGGCAGGTCGTTGAGTCGAGTCCCGGACAGGATCATCAGCCTGTCACTTACCCAACATGCATTAGCCCAGTTGGCTGAATGCTCATCACTATTGGGCGATTCGACGTCCTCCAGTCTTCACATAGCGAACCCTGCCCACATTCTTCCCACTTATCCTCCTCTTCAACACACACACACACACACACACGCACTGATATGTGGGAGACCAGAGGAACCTCTTGCAGCGGTGCACACACAGACAAACACACAAGCATGTAGAATGTAAGTAGGGAGGTGGCGAGTGCAAAATTCTTCTCAATCGAGGCGAGAACGACAGATCTCTTCATGCTTTTCAACAGATTACCTTTTGCAATTGCCTCTTCATGTATACACAATCGGCGGGAATATATACGCTGTGAGCAAAGACCATATGGGGTAGGGTGAAGGCATCTGTCTGGGTGGGATATATTTAAACAAAGCATCACGACAGGGCTTATCTCGAACCGAGGCGAATCACCCGCCGAGATTGGAGCCAGTTGACGCTCGGAGTCTGAGCGCATATTCGAGGCGGGTCGAGATGATGAGAACAGCCAATCAGGCCATCCAGTCACGCTTCGGTGCCACTTCGCGACCGGGGGACCGTCGTCCCCACCAGATTTTCCCACTTTCCGGCCCACTCGCCTCCCCTCCGAGGCCATCCAAGTGGGCAACCCGACCACGAACAGGTGATGGATAAGATAAACAGTTGTCCAACCGGTGAGGCGGGAGATCGAGTCTGTGGAAACGGGTTTTTTTCGGCTTCACCGGTCCTCCGCGTTCCCATGAGCACGCAGCTAAGACAAACAAATTCGCGTGTAGGTCCGTCTCTCCGCGCCTGTCCACACGCACGCCGCTACATGGGCCGATAATTGGAGGAGATTGACGTTTTTTGCCGCAATGCCCAAAGGAGGGATCGGGTCGAAAAAAGGCGTTAAACCCCAATGCCTCGACTGTGAGGCAAACTGGTCGGTGTTGACATCTTCGCCACACTCTGTGGGTGCACACAAGCCGGGCGAAAGAGGCCATCTTGGCCGATTCGCCGCGTCTTCAAGGGCAATCTCGATCTCAAGACTGCGCTGCGAGACATCTGGACCTGAAGTGTCAGTCAAGGGAATGCGTACAGATCAGCCTCACCTGCTGCCATGATCACAGCTAGACTCGTGATCGGTTCAACTTCC